GAGACGAGTCAGCCTTGGGCTTGAACTGCAGCGGGGAAGAAGCAACTGTGGCTCAATGTGTGCTGGACCCATGAAGGTCGGGTAACAAAAATCAGCCTTATGAAACTGACGGTTGCCCCTTACAGCGAGCCATCTTTACCTGTATAAATGATTTCACAAGGTTCTGCAGAGCCAAAGCAGGGTGTAAGGGGCTTACTGCACCTGCTATCACATGGGAGCTGACTTGAAGTCACAGAATCATAGGTTGGAAAAGACCTCTGAGATCATTGCATCCAGCCATCCGCCCAACACCACCATGCCTGCTAAACCATGCCCCGAAGTGCCACATCTACACAGTTTTTAAACGCCTCCAGGGACGGTGACTCCACCACCTCCCTGGGCAGCCTGTTCCAACGCCTGACCACTCTCTCGGTAACCTCGCGAGACAGCGATGCTGTTCTCGGATCCCAGTCCCACTGGTTAACTAAAACCCAAGGGAATTCTCTGTTCTCAGAGGTGATACCACACTCTCTTGGGTTCCTCGGAGCAGATCATCCTCCAGGACCTGCAAATCACAAACACTACCTACTTTAAGTGACCAGTGTCTCTCTCCCTTCTTTCAGATGAATGCATTGGGAATAACAAATAAAGCAAAGTCATACTTCATGGTCAGCTTAAGTAATCAAACTTGTAATTTGTTGTTTCTCACAAAAGAACAGTGTTTTTCCAGTTTATTCCCCCTGGACTCCACTTTATGCAGTGAGTTATTCTACAAAATACAAACATAGTATAACTGAAAAAATCAATTGCACTTTTTGAAAATGACCACAATCACCTATAACTTGCTACTGCATTGTACTAGTATCTGTCACTCCTGAAGTCATTTTAATATTTGAGAAATACATCTCCAACTTAAAATTACTACTTCCTGAAATTCCAAGGATTTTGAATGGAAAAATATGTAAAATAGTTCCCTACAGTTTAAAGGTTCCCTTTAAATACTAGATAAAATTTAGTTACTAGTCTAGACGTGCAGACATCCGAGTATGGCAATGACTTTCTTTGGTATAGGATTAAGCAGTTAAAAAAACCCCAAATCCCAGACTCCAAATCACACCACGTTCCCCATCAGAACAGCGTAATATCATGGTCTATCTGCCTACCACTAATAAAATTATCTAATACTCTAAATAAAGCTTGAATTAAAAATATTCTACATATTGTTTCCAAATTACACCAAGCCCCTTGAACTCTGGTTCTCTGTAGGGCTTAAGTATCATTGGGGAGTTTTGGGACTCGGTTCTTAACAGCGTGAAAAACAGTCTCTCAACTACCAGCTTGGTAGCTCGTCAAAATGAACACCACTGAGAACAGACCATACAGACCCACCTGTCTCATTTCACACAAAACAAGCAGCAATTAAACACTACCACAGAAATGACGACTGCGGCTCTGAGATCATGCGTCAGAGAGACAGCCCGAGGAAAGCACTCTCGGGGGAAAATGACAACTGGTCATCATTTTGAAGCTTTTCAGTGTAAAAGGAGACTGTATACTAATATCTGGTGCTACAATAGCATTGTAGTGATAGCATTCTCATCTTTTTCAAGGGCACACTTCTGTTTTTCTTAAAAGAAAAATATGCCACCGTTTAATAACCACCAAATCACACTTTATTTTACCAGTTCAAACAGTTTACATTCCTAAGAAGTGCTGGCTGAGGCAGCCTGGTACGAGGACGCTCAGAGTATCTGACAAAGGCACTAACTTCACACTGCCACCCGTTTACACTGTTGGTCCACCGCAACATGGAGTAAAAGCAGCAAGACTTCTGAAGTATACGCTTCAGTAAAACTACCCCGTGTTGTAATGGTTGTCTGTCCTCCTAACAGGGTGGGGAAAAGCGGGCAACAACCCCCTCGACATTTGTACCAATTATCAGCTATTTGAAAGGCAACACTTCCCTTACTCAGAGCACAGTAGTTTCCACAGAATAGACAGAACGGTCACTACATTTAAATCGTTAAAGCACAGGAAAAGATGGAAGATCCTGGTTTTTCACTTCCCTTCACCACCTGTGAAAAATGAGTGAAATTCTGCAGAGATGGAAGTTGTTGAATTATTTAAAAAAAACCTAAACAAAACAGCAAACCAAAAAACAAACCATGACCCAAAAACCTTAAAACTTTTTTTCGTTTGACTCATTGTTACCATCTGGGGAGAGAGATGGCATGATTTACTTCAGATTGCTTTGGCTTCAACTACCTTCCATAGGGTCATCTTCCTAGCAACTAAGCTACTACAGTTCACGCTCACCATTTTCTGACATACCTAGCTGAATTTTACATATACAAAGTTCCTTTAAATAGTTACATAGCATTAAAAACTGACTGAATGTGTGTGAATATTCAAGTAGCTTTGTGCTTTTCCGAATGATTCTGAAGCCTTAAAGATCTAGCAATAT